GGCCACCGCAGCCTCTATCTGCTGGGCTCTGGCGATCCTTCCGCCTCAGCCTTCCAAGTAGCTGGAACTACAGGCACGCACTACCATGCCCGGTTAATTCTTTTGATTTATTGTAGAGATGAGGTCTCACCAAGTTGCCCAGGCGGGTCTCGAACCCGTGGGCTCAGGCAATCCACTCGCCTCAGCCTCCCAAAGCACTGGGATTACAGGCTGAGCCACCGAGCCCGGCTTTGTTCTCTGGTTTTAATTGGGCATTTCATGATATCTTTTCCTCTTCTCTTTATCAATTACTTCTTATTAAATTTATTTTTAGTGGCTGCCCTAAAGTTTGCTGTATATATTTACAATCTGAATCCAATTTAAAATAACACCATACTGTTTCACAGGTGGTCCAGTTATCTTAGAACAATATTCTCAATTCCTCCCTCCCACCCTTGTAACACCACTGCTCTTCATTTCACTTATCCATATGCTGTACTTACCCAGTTGCTTTGAACAAGTAGTTATTTATTGGATCAACGAAGAATATGAATAACAAAATATTTTTTACCTTCATTTTTAATATAAAATTTCCTTTCTTTATATAGATCTGAGTTTCTGACCTATATAATTTTTCTTTTCTCCAAAGATTTTGTTTTAACATCTTGTAAAGCAGTCTACTAACAACAAATTTCCCCAGTTTTTGTTTAGCTGAGCAAGTCTTTATTTTTCCTTTACTTTTGAAGGATAATTTCACTAAATACAGAATTCTAAATTGGTGAGATTTTTCTTTCTTTTTAAATTATTTTATTCCATATCCTCTTGCTTACATTGTTTCTGATGAGAAGCCTGATATAATTCTTATCCTTCTGCTACTGGTAAGGTGTTTACACTCTGCCTTTTTAAAAGATATTCTTTTTGTCTTTGGTTTTTCTGCAGTTTGAACATGATATGCCTAGGTGATTTTTGAGTACTTATTCTGCTTGGTATTCTCTGATCTTCTTGGACTGGTGGTCAGGTGTGTCATTAATTTTGGAAAATTTTTGGTTATTATTTGAATATTTCTTTTACTCATTTCTCTCCTTCTTCTTCTGCTATTCCCATTAAATGTGTGTTAAATCTTTTGTAATTATTCCATTCTCTTCCAGCATTTTCATTCTTTTTTCTTATAACATTTCAGTTGGGAAGCTTTTTTTTTTTTTCTTCCAGGTTCATGATTTATTGTACAAGCTGAATTATCATGTGGTGAGTTGACATGAGCTTCTCCAAGCATGAGAACTTAACAGTTTAGTATCCATTTATGTTGCTTTCACAGATGTAGGTTTTTTGTTTTTTGGTTTTTTTTGAGTTGGAGTCTCAGTCTGTCGCCCAGACTGGAGTGCAGTGGCCGCTCCCAGTCACCGCAGCCTTGACCTGCTGGGCTCCGGCGATCCTTCCACCTCAGCCTTCCAAGTAGCTGGAACTACAAGCGCATGCTACCACGCCTGGCTAATTTTTGATTGATTGTAGAGATGAGGTCTCGCCAAGTTGCCCAGGCGGGTCTCGAACCCATGGGCTTAGGCAATCCACTCACCTCAGCCTCCCAAAGGCGCGGGATTACAGGCTGAGTGATATAGTTTTTTTAGATCTTGAAGTATAAGACCCTCAAAGCAATGCCTTCGTATGTGGCCAGTACACAATTCATTCTACCTGTGAGAGTGTACGAGTTGAAATATTTTTTAATACCAGTGAACTGGAATTGGGCATCAGCTTCAGGATCTGCCATGATTTCAATCTGGTCCCGGCCATGGTCAACGCAGCCCCGCTTGCCTGGCTGCAGTTGGGAAGCTTCTATTGACCTATCTTATTGCCCACTGAGTCTTCCCTTGAACATGTCCAGTAGGCTGATGATCCCATGAAGGCATTTTTCATTTCTGTTTCAATGCTTTTTAATTTCTAGCATTTTCTTCTGATTCGTTCTTTGAGTCTCTATCTCTCTGCTTACATTTTCCATCTGTTCTTGCTTGTCATCTACCTTTTCCCTTACTGCCCTGAACATATGAATCATAGTTAAATTCCCTATGTGATAATTACAAAGTTTGTGCCATATCTGAGTCAGATTCCGATGCATGCTTTGTCTCCTCAAATTGTTTTTTCTTGCCTTTTAGCATCCCTTGTAATTTTTTTGTTGAAAGCCAGACATGATGGATCAGCTAATAGGGACTGAGGTGATTAGGCTTTTACTCTGAGAATTTATGTTAATCTAGCAAAGATCTGGTCTGTGTTTAATGTTTGCTATAGCTGTAGGTGCCAGAGGTTTCCTCTAGTTTCCCTGCTTTTTTCTTTTTGTTATCTTTGGTTACCCTAAGAACTTCTTAAACAGAGTCTGTGCTTTGCAGTTCTCTAAGTTGTCCTCTGTTATTTATTTTTATTTTTATTTTTTAATTTTTTTTTTGAGTTGGAGTCTCACTCTGTCGCCCAGACTGGATTGCAGTGGCAGCTCCCGGCCACTGCAGCCTCGACCTGCTGGGCTCCGGCGATCCTTCCGCCTCAGCCTTCCGAGTAGC